GTTCTTCGAGCTATATGGCCGGCCCATTGCCACTTCAGCTTACTAATCCGTTGGGCTATGTCGGTCACTCTAGTTCTACTGCGGATATCCTCATTTCTGAGTTTATCACGCAGAGAAACTCCGAGCATAGCCCTCTCCATAGCTCGCTGAGCGACCTTGAGCTTCCTCATCCGGCCAGCAGTGAAGGACCACGTCTCAGTTCCGTATGTCATCACTGGCAACACGCACTGGGTGTACAGTCTCGTTTTCAAGTTTTGAGGTATACCTGACGAGAAGATGTGCCGTAATTTCCCGAACGCTGCCCAACCGAGTTGAATCCGTCGATTGACCTCTCGGTCGAAGTTGGACTTACCTAGTCGGACTATTTGTCCCAGGTGAACATACTCGTCAACAACTTCGAGCTTAGTGTTCCCAACAACTACCGGCATAGGTGTGACATGGACATTAAACATGATCTTTGTTTTGTCCATGTTCATCTTAAGACCTATCCGTTGGGAAACACTATTGAGGTCATTGAGCATAGTGCTTAGGCCCTCCAGCGATTCTGCCATAAGGACTATATCGTCGGCAAATCGAAGGTGAGTGATGTACTCGCCATTGATGTTGATACCGTATCCTTTCCAGTCCAGAAGCTTGAAAACATCTTCCAATGCAGCGGTAAAGAGTTTCGGGGATATGACGTCACCCTGTCTTACACCTCTCTGCAATTGGATAGGTTTCGTACTCTGGTTCTGTACTCGGATAGCCATCGTAGCCCTACTGTACAAGCACTTCAACACTTCGATATACCGACAGTCAACTTGGCATCGCTGAAGGGACTGCAGCACCGCCCAAATTTCGACGGAATCAAAGGCTTTCTCATAGTCCACATACGCCAGACATAATGGCAAATTGTACTCCTCGGACTTCTGTACAATTTGCCGAAGGGTATATATGTGGTCTATGGTGCTAAAGCCTTTTCGGAAACCGGCTTGTTCGGGAGGCTGGAAGTCGTCAAGTCTGCGCGCGAGACGATTCGTAATGACTCTCGAAAACAGCACGTAGACGCGGCTCAGAAGGGAAATCGGTCTGTAGTTCTTCAAGAGAGCGTTGTCGCCTTTCTTGAAGAACAAGACCACCGCACTTCTGCTCCACGCCTCCGGTGTAATGCCACCATGGAGGACGGAATTAAAGAGCTTCTGAAGGACTTCAAGTACCGGATTTCCACCCGCTTTCAGAAGCTCCGCTGTAATTCCATCCTCGCCTGGGGCCTTGCCGTTTTTAAGGTGCTGGAGAGCCATTCTAATCTCGCTCAGACTGACGTCCGGGATATCATCGGAATAATGTCGGATAAGACTCGCTCTTGGATCGTTACTCACACTTGCGTGCGGCTCCAACGATGACGTGTACAGCTGCCCATAGAACCTCTCAATCTCACTCAAAATCTCAGGTGCCCCGGAAACGATACTGCCACACTCTGTCTTCAGCTTTGACAGTTGGCGCTTTCTGTATATATTATATTATATTTATTTTATTATATTATATATTTATTTATTATATTATACTGTATATATTATATTATATATTATATTTATTTCCTCATCATAAACAGGTACATAATTATTGGCAAATATCTTAAAATATAAACGTAATGCACCCTAGTTTGGGAGAGACTGGTCCCTAATAAAGTTATTTTACAATACTGTTCTATAGGTCACGAGGTCCTATCTCTCGGATTATGAATCTGTAAAATATATTGAAGAGATTTACTTTCATTGAATTAGTTATGAAATAATCGATATTTAATAAAAAAAAGGATTAATATATGACAAAACCAATTTATATAATGATGTATACATAGATACATATTTTAGATTAAAGTGTATTTAATACTAATACTAGTGTTAATATTATAATTTGAAATAAAGAGTTTTTAAAGATTATATTGTAATGTGTGTGACATTATAGTTGGGGATGTAAGAAACTTTCAGTGGATCCTTAAGTTAAAGATTTGAGCCAGTTTATTATGTTTTTGTTTTTTATTTGTGTTTAAATACATGGATAACAGCGTCTTTTTTTTTGTTGTAGATATAATTGGTAGTGCCTCTTGGCTAAGCTTCATTTAAGCGTTGTAGATGGCCAGACTATGTCCTTTCTCCTTTTAGTAATGCTGTAATTGGGATCGTAACTCCATTATGAATGTTTTCTAGTTATCACTTTAAGGTGAGGACATTACATGACAACCATAAGAGCTCCGTATTGAACGTCTATAAGGGAGACTAGCTGCAGTGCCAAGGATTGCTCTTTTAGCTTTTTCAGCGTCAACCAGGTGAGTTTTAACTGCACCACCCCACAATGTGATACAATAGCTGTAACAGTAACGCTAATAATAGAAACAAGAATACACATTAAATTAATGATTCACATGGACCTGATGGTATTTTTATAGGATAAGAGTGACAAGCGAGCACACAGTCCACCCGATGGTAAGTGGTTGCTGTCGCCTATAGACATCTACATCTATCCTGATGATGTGTGATATGTTGTCAGCCGTGAGGACTAAGATGGAATGCCTCTTTTCCAGTAAAATAGGTTTCTGGTTCACTACACTCACCATGCGAAACAAAGCAGCATTTAGCTGCTATTTTACGCTGGTATTCTGTGAGAGCGTGATCCTTACCCTGTCGACCTGACTCATTCGTGCTACAACTCTACAAATAGTTTAGCTGCAGCATGGCTGTATCACGTAAAATATTGGTGTAATATATTTACGGATCTTTTTTAATATAACTAATGCCATCTTAAGGAATTCTGTATTTTAAGAACTTACAGGAAAGCCTTTGGCCTTTTTGGCCTTTACTAGCGACCACATAGTGCGGAATTTTTATGGGCATTATGACTTAAGAGTTAAGACTTACTATCCAGGCCGGATTGAATTACTATCATAAACTACAGTATGTACCTAAGGACAACTAAGCGTAATATAAACAAAAATAACGGTACTTTAAAAAATTGTGTAACTTATACACTCGTACTACTTTTGAATACAAAAATACATGTGATGAAAATAAAATAAATTACCCATAACTGGAATAACTATAACTTTAGCATTCCATTTACTTAGGATTCAATTTAGAGTCGGCACCTTTGAAAGTTGAAATTCGTCCAAATTACCAAATAATCGTATTCAAAAATTTTACCACCATGTTTATACCGAATTTCATTAAAAAGCAGGAGCCCGTAATCTTTTATAATCGCCCACGCATATCTGGTAGCGACCATCTTCAAAATCCCACGCGTCGTCATACTAAGAGTACAATATAATAACATAATAATACAATATAGTTAATTAGATTACCAGATGATGTACTTAGCTAGAAGCCAATACAAAAGTTTATTAGTGATAACTATGGACTCGCTCATGTATTGTTAATTATTTAAAAGTTATGTCCCATTCAATCTTATTATAACGGTTTATAGAATATCATAACTAAAATCGTTTAACTATTTACCGTTAGCGTTTAGAGCCTATCAAAAGTCCACATTGGCCATATGGTTACATACCACGTTATCAGTACTACCACGGCCATAGTTTGCAGGCGGATCGGCAACTGTAGTTTTTTATTTCGTTTTGTTTACTATTTGCAAATAGCATTAAATTGAACTACTTTGCAAATAGTACATTACTACTATTTATAAATATTCAAAGTAGGATGCATTAATCATAGTATCTAAATATCGTTATCATCTACCTATAAGCAATCCACAGCTGGATATTTAAACGAATCTAGTACGAATGCGTTTATCACCAAGTTTGAAGGACGAATAATATATTCCTAAGCCGATACCCACACAACCAGATGGAGTAAAGAATTATCCTATGGCGTTACTGTAGAGCAATTTAGCCGTGCGCTTAGCAATCGTACTTATCAAGTCAAAACTAAGCTCTAAGGCGTACGGCAAGTATCTGTTCCATAACCATACTAAGAAGTCTGAATGTGCCTACGATAGGGGGATTCTTGCCCGCCAGAAAAATGTAATGCTCACACTAAACTTAAGCCATAGGTAGGTAAGTTCAAAGTAAAAAAGGACCCAAAAAAATCACTCACTGTAACATTGTTGAAGCCGTGGTAGCTCAGGAATTAAGCGTTCGCCGGAAGTATCATAAATACGCGAGCAACTTAGGTTCGATCCCCGCCAGTAGCAATGAAATTGTTAATTACAGTTTTAAATCTTGAATTACCATGGGCTTAGCGGTGAAGGAAAACATTGTAAGGAAACCTACATGTCTAAAAAAATTTAAAATAAATATTACAAAGAAATGAGAATCCCGCAAATACGCATTGGGGTAGGACCCATTCGTGCTACAACCATAAAATAGCTGCAGCATGGCTCTGCCAGGTAAAAATTTAGTTTGGCCTATCAACTTTATTTCTTACAATCGGTATAATAATGTTTTGAAGTTGATAACTAGGTGTGGATTTTATTTTTGTCAGGTGATTTTCCTATTCATTTTTCCGAATTTCTGGTCATTCGTTTTCTGAATTAAATATATTTTTTTGTTATAATTTTAAGTGCAACTTGTCACTAAAGTAGTAATTGTCATTTTATGTTATATCCTAGCGCTGTTCTATGAGTAATAAAATTTGATTGAACGTCGAAGTTAGTGCCAAGATTCGCATGCATTATGCAGAACCATGCAGAACGCCCAAATTACATTACCTCGTCTGAATAGGTCGATATCTATTTTTGTGTTCAACGCTACTTCAGACATTACATTACTATTTCAGAGCTATGCTATAGATCAAGGTCTTTGGAAAATTTTGATTTTGCATTGTAATTATCCGGCGAAAGCCGTTATTTTCCAATGTAAACATCCAAATAATTTACTGGCCCGTGATAACAAGGCATGCAGGTGAAAGATAAAAACCGTTCCGAGCAGATTAGTGCGATAAAAGACGTCCTAACAGAACGCACGTGCTTTAATGTAAGTGCTTATTCCGGATTTTAGTTACACTACAATGTTCGTGTTTGTTTTCTATGCTGCAGCAACATTAATATCATACGGTAAGCTATTTAACTATAAAGTAAAAAAAATCATTCTGTTTATTCGTTTATTTGTGATTCACTTGCACTTTTAAATAAAACGCGATGACAAAAGAATCCTTTGCATCATTCGATTGTGTATTTAAAACAAAACAAACGTGTTACATCACGTCCTTTTTATACGGTACGAATGAACGCGGTCCGGTCGCCGCCCGCGCCTCGAACACAATGCTTCCCGACTCATCTCGTCTCGCAACTACCGGTTAATAAATATTTATTTAATCCACTGTTGACAATCGTATTTACATTGTTATAATGGTAAGGCCTGTTATGTCGCCACGACGCCGCGTGGGTTGAACTTTTTGTACATTGAGCATCACTTGTTTCGAATTCAGGTCATTGCCGCGATTGCGATAAGTGATAATATCTGTTTAGAAACAAAATAAATAGAACAATTTAAAACAATGTCGGCATTTGTTTGAAAAATAAACGATTATCTGTTCTGTCCATTTTCATGGCCTTTTTTTACTCAACTGATATTAAGTGACCACCGCCGCCCATGAGCAACCGTAATACCATGAGAATGTGAAAATTGAAAAAGAATTGGGAATCGGGCACTGGGAATCCGCTGCCTAGCAAGAGACTATTAGGGTTTTAGACTAATTAGAATAAAATATTTAGGAATATTTCCAAACTGGAACAAGTACACCGTTATTAAGTAACAAAAAAACTCGACTGCATTAAACTTATATATATTATGTACAACACAAATCGAAATTTTCCTGACACTTTAAAACCCATTAAGCCGTTTAAGCTACATCTTCGATCAACAATACCTACTATTGTTGATCGAAGGGCTATATGAAATAACAAAGGAACAAGGACGAAGTTAGAGTGGGCCCACTGATCGAAGGGCTACATGAAATAACAAAGGAACAAGGACGAAGTTAGAGTGGGCCCACTGATCGAAGGGCTACATGAAATAACAAAGGAACAAGGACGAAGTTAGAGTGGGCCCACTGATCGAAGGGCTACATGAAATAACAAAGGAACAAGGACGAAGTTAGAGTGGGCCCACTGATCGAAGGGCTACATGAAATAACAAAGGAACAAGGACGAAGTTAGAGTGGGCCCACTGATCGAAGGGCTACATGAAATAACAAAGGAACAAGGACGAAGTTAGAGTGGGCCCACTGATCGAAGGGCTACATGAAATAACAAAGGAACAAGGACGAAGTTAGAGTGGGCCCACTGATCGAAGGGCTACATGAAATAACAAAGGAACAAGGACGAAGTTAGAGTGGGCCCACTGATCGAAGGGCTACATGAAATAACAAAGGAACAAGGACGAAGTTGGAGTGGGCCCACTGATCGAAGGGCTACATGAAATAACAAAGGAACAAGGACGAAGTTAGAGTGGGCCCACTGATCGAAGGGCTACATGAAATAACAAAGGAACAAGGACGAAGTTAGAGTGGGCCCACTGATCGAAGGGCTACATGAAATAACAAAGGAACAAGGACGAAGTTAGAGTGGGCCCACTGATCGAAGGGCTACATGAAATAACAAAGGAACAAGGACGAAGTTAGAGTGGGCCCACTGATCGAAGGGCTACATGAAATAACAAAGGAACAAGGACGAAGTTAGAGTGGGCCCACTGATCGAAGGGCTACATGAAATAACAAAGGAACAAGGACGAAGTTAGAGTGGGCCCACTGATCAAAGGGCTACATGAAATAACAAAGGAACAAGAACGAAGTTAGAGTGGGCCCACTGATCGAAGGGCTACATGAAATAACAAAGGAACAAGGACGAAGTTAGAGTGGGCCCACTGATCGAAGGGCTACATGAAATAACAAAGGAACAAGGACGAAGTTAGAGTGGGCCCACTGATCGAAGGGCTACATGAAATAACAAAGGAACAAGGACGAAGTTAGAGTGGGCCCACTGATCGAAGGGCTACATGAAATAACAAAGGAACAAGGACGAAGTTAGAGTGGGCCCACTGATCGAAGGGCTACATGAAATAACAAAGGAACAAGGACGAAGTTAGAGTGGGCCCACTGATCGAAGGGCTACATGAAATAACAAAGGAACAAGGACGAAGTTAGAGTGGGCCCACTGATCGAAGGGCTACATGAAATAACAAAGGAACAAGGACGAAGTTAGAGTGGACCCACTGATCGAAGGGCTACATGAAATAACAAAGGAACAAGGACGAAGTTAGAGTGGGCCCACTGATCGAAGGGCTACATGAAATAACAAAGGAACAAGGACGAAGTTAGAGTGGGCCCACTGATCGAAGGGCTACATGAAATAACAAAGGAACAAGGACGAAGTTAGAGTGGGCCCACGGGGCTATGTCCTCTTCCGTCCCCGATGTGTGGAGTGCGCTATGATAATAGTCGAAAGAGTTTTTTTGCTCTGCGCCACATAGAACTGTGGATAAGTAAGCAGATTTCATTTAGATGTCCAAAAATCATTAAGTAGTAAAGTGGATTACTCTATCAATACGTATGTTATGGACCAAGTGATTATTCATAATGTCTAGACAGTTTAAAAAATGTCCAATATCCAATATGACTAGGCAATACGATAAAAACTAATGAAGTAATTAATTAGACTTTAAAAATAAAGTCCGTTACTTATTGAGCAGAATAATCGAAAGATTGGTTAGGTTAGGTTTTTTTTTGATGTCACATATTTAACAATTAAACACAATGAGAATAAAGTTTTTCACCAAAGGTATTTTTTCTTTGTAACGCAAAGGAAGGAATACCCCATTGATGTGCAAAGTGGTTGGTTGGTATGGTAAAGTAAGGAACACCTTTACAATTTTACACTTGTTAATTTCAGATTTGGTACATTATTAACTTCTAATACAATATATTAAAAGTGATTAACATGTTAACATGGATAGATTAGGTTAAGTTATATATCAAATTGCGGAACAGTTCATATAGTCTATATTATAGACCAGGGTTTCCCCAACCTTTTTTTGACCAGGGACCACTTTGATTTTTTGTAGTTAGCAGGGACCACAAGGTGAAATAAAAAATGTGTTAATCTAATAATAAATTATAACAACAACTTTTAACATAATTATATGATAAACTGCAAAGAAGCATTACCAGTATTATTTGTGTATTTATTGTAAAAGGTAATAGGTACTAACGTGACGTGATTAGAAAATAATAAATGTGTTATTTAAAACGATTAATTAGGTAAAATATTAAAATCTTTCGCGGACCAGGATCACTTGTGGTCCGCGGACCACTGGTTGAGAATCACTGTTGTAGACCGATTTATCTTGTCATTATACATATGCACGGCCATTATAAATAATACCCTGATTAATCACTTATAACTTGGTCAATAACATATATGCTATGAGCCAAACACTCCTCATTGTCAGCTGATTTTATTTTAAATTTCACTGCTGGTTTTATGTTTAAGTATTCTCATGATTTTTTTTATGAAATTATCGTTTCATTTAGCTGTACTAACATGATGGCGCGTGAATAAAGCTAATAAAACGTTGTAAAAGTTGTTTTTTTTTAATCATGATCGAATTTATTTGTGACCCATGATCAAAGGGCTCTTTAGTACTCTCATCTGTCTTCGTTTTCGGGAGCGTTTCACAAATACCCGGTATAGTATGTTCGCTTAGATACGGTCACCTCTGTGTTGTGCTGCCTTCGTACGTTGCCAAATTTTGTCAAAGGCACCGCCGCGACATCACTTTGCTAGTTAGAAAATAACCTTGTGATTATTGTTTATATCCGTGTTTTATTACAATAACATAGAATAGAAAAATATATAATTAACAAAACACAATAAAAAAATAATGAAATAGAAACAAAATAATAAGCACCGCTCCAGGAGAACCGACACCACCAAGCAAAGAAAGGTCGCTGTAACTGAAATTCGGTCTATAGGACATTATATTTATTATTATTTTTGTAATTGTTTCGGATTATTGCTTGTTTGTGGCTCTAACTTTAACTCGCCTGAAAATCTTGAGCCTGAACATAAATTAATACACGCACAGGCGCACACGCGTACACACACACACACACACACACACACACACACACACGCATGCACACACGCACTCCCTTGCACACACACACACACACACACATACACAGTAATTACATAACAATTCTCCTGAGGTGGTCGGGTATAAAATTTTATAATAGCTCTCACTGATTTTTTTATTGAAATTTTTAAATACAGTATGTTAATGATTAGAAAATATTATTATCATTATCATTATCTGCACAGTGAAACCCTAGGTACTCTAACCCTGTCCTAACAAACAGCTTTCAATAATTTCTCAATGTAGGGCAATTTTTACCTTCTTAATAGCTAAACCTGTTCTGGTTGTAAATGTATTTTGAAGTAGTCGAATAAGTACCAATTCAAAGATAGGCGTGAAAAATAAAATGGTGTGTATTTCCTACTAAGTAAGCCGTCGCAATCCTGATGACGTCGTTTAGAGGCGAAACTATAGTTATTCGACGGTTGCGCGTGTTTCCTAGTGTAGTGATTAAGAGCGGTTTTAGTTGCGGCAGTGATCTCTTAAAACACACAATGTTTTCACCCAGACATTAATTTGATATAAATGTCATTTATTATAGCCTATCAACATTCTTCAGCTGAACACAGGCCTTCACCATATATTGCCTCGTCATATGGGACAGATTTACCATAGCTGCCACGCGTGACAGGCGGATTGGCAACCGTAGTTTTTTTATTATTAATATAGTCAGAATCAGAAGGATGCTTTTTTCCCTCTCCCGTTACATTACCTTCTGTTGCCTTTTACGACACCCATGGGATGATATGGGGTGGTGGATACTCGTTCGCCGCCACTACGCGACGATGTGATAGTGTAACAGTGACTTAATATCTCAAGTTAAAGTACGTTTCTACAAATTAACTGCCCTCTAAAACATAAGTGCTTGCAACTTGACTCAGTGGTGACGGGAGATATCACTTTAATAAAATATCTGAAA